CCCTACTCCTATCTTAGAGGAGACAGGCTTGAACATAAATTATCAGTTTTGTAAACATTGCTCGCAGGTGCCTGGGCTCCATAGACGCGCCTTGTCCCTCTTCTCTTTAGCTGGGGAGAGCTGTCTCAATCTTCAGAAATTCATGTAGCTTCCACGACAGATCAGTGAAGGTGATTGGCCTGAGATAAGGGCCAAGTCCTTATTGGCCCTAGAGAGCCAGACCTCAGGCCTACGTGTTAAATGGTTGGCCATTGCCAAAATAATGGGTGGAGCCCTGGGGCTGTAGAGATGGTGGGAGGAGTATCCTTCCCAGCAATAGGTTGGAAAAACTAAATTTCATCAGTGTGTCTTGGGAGTGTATTAGGAACAGGGCCGCAAGCCCGTATCCTCGGGGCTGAGGGCAGCCATCAACATCGTGGCCGTAGTGCGGGTATTTAAGGTATAGTGCACTTGAGTTTTTGTGTCCTCGGTAAATATCCATTGTGCCTCTAGGGAAATAGAATAGGTGATGTGTTCAAATTGTCTTAATTTACATGTTTCATAAAATAAATGGTATCCCAGTGGTATTCCTTAACTCCCCTTTGATATATTTTCCTCGTATTTTTAGCTCCTGTATTCCTGTCCTCGTATCCCAGTTGCTCCTGGATTCCTGTCCTCGTATCCCTAATTTTCCTATTCCTGTCCTCGTATCCCAGCTCCTGATTCCTGTCCTCGTATCCCAGCTCCTATCCTGTCCTCGTATCCCAGCTCCTATCCTGTCCTCGTATCCCAGCTCCTATCCTGTCCTCGTATCCCAGCTCCTATCATGGCCTCGTATCCCAGCTCTGGGTTATCCCAGGCTCCTATCCTGTCCTCGTATCCCAGCTCCTATCCTGTCCTCGTATCCCAGCTCCTGTCCTGTCCTCGTATCCCTGCTCCTGTCCTGTCCTCGTATCCCAGTTCCTTTCCTGTCCTCGTATCCCTGCTCCTGTCCTGTCCTCGTATCCCAGTTCCTATCCTGTCCTCGTATCCCTGCTCCTGTCCTGTCCTCGTATCCCAGTTCCAGTCCTCGTATCCCTGCTCCTGTCCTGTCCTCGTATCCCAGCTCCTATCCTGTCCTTGTATCCCAGCTCCTATCCTCGTATCCCTGCTCCTGTCCTGTCCTCGTATCCCAGTTCCTATCCTGTCCTCGTATCCCAGCTCCTATCCTGTCCTCGTATCCCAGCTTCTATCCCGTCATGGTATCCCAGCTCGTATCCTGTCCTCGTATCCCAGCTCCTGTCATGTCCTCGTATCCCAGCTTCTATCCTGTTCTCGTATCCCAGCTCCTGTCCTGCCCTGTCCTAGTATCCCAGCTCGTATCATGTCCTCGTATCCCAGTTTCTATTCTGTTCTCGTATCCCAGCTCCTGTCCTTTCCTCTTATCCCAGCTCCTAGCCTGTCCTCGTATCCCAGCACTTATCCTGTCCTCGTATCCCTGCACTTATCCTGTCCTCGTATCCCAGCACTTATCCTGTCCTCGTATCCCAGCACTTATCCTGTCCTCGTATCCCAGCACTTATCCTGTCCTCGTATCCCAGCACTTATCCTGTCCTCGTATCCCAGCACTTATCCTGTCCTCGTATCCCTGCACTTATCCTGTCCTCGTATCCCTGCTCCTGTCCTGTCCCGTATCCCTCCTATCCTGTCCTCGTATCCCAGCTCCTATCCTGTCCTCGTATCCCAGCTCCTATCCTGTCCTCGTATCCCAGCTCCTATCCTGTCCTCGTATCCCAGCTCCTATCCTGTCCTCGTATCCCAGCTCCTATCCTGTCCTCGTATCCCAGCTCCTATCCTGTCCTCGTATCCCAGCTCCTATCCTGTCCTCGTATCCCAGCTCCTATCCTGTCCTCGTATCCCAGCTCCTATCATGTCCTCGTATCCCAGCTCCTATCATGTCCTCGTATCCCAGCTCCTATCCTGTCCTCGTATCCCAGCTCCTATCCTGTCCTCGTATCCCAGCTCCTATCCTGTCCTCGTATCCCAGCTCCTATCCTGTCCTCGTATCCCAGCTCCTATCCTGTCCTCGTATCCCAGCTCCTATCCTGTCCTCGTATCCCAGCTCCTATCCTGTCCTCGTATCCCAGCTCCTATCCTGTCCTCGTATCCCAGCTCCTATCCTGTCCTCGTATCCCAGCTCCTATCCTGTCCTCGTATCCCAGCTCCTATGGCCTCGTATCCCAGCTCCTATCATGGCCTCGTATCCCAGCTCCTATCATGTCCCTAACCAGCTCCTATCCTGTCCTCGTATCCCAGCTCCTATCATGTCCTCGTATCCCAGCTCCTATCCTGTCCTCGTATCCCAGCTCCTATCCTGTCCTCGTATCCCAGCTCCTATCCTGTCCTCGTATCCCAGCTCCTATCCTGTCCTTGTATCCCAGCTCCTATCCTGTCCTCGTATCCCTGCTCCTATCCCGTCCTCGTATCCCAGCTCCTATCCTGTCCTCGTATCCCAGCTCCTATCCTGTCCTCGTATCCCAGCTCCTATCATGGCCTCGTATCCCAGCTCCTATCATGTCCTCGTATCCCAGCTCCTATCATGGCCTCGTATCCCAGCTCCTATCATGGCCTCGTATCCCAGCTCCTATCCTGTCCTCGTATCCCAGCTCCTATCCTGTCCTCGTATCCCAGCTCCTATCATGGCCTCGTATCCCAGCTCCTATCCTGTCCTCATATCCCAGCTCCTATCATGTCCTCGTATCCCAGCTCCTATCCTGTCCTCGTATCCCAGCTCCTATCCTGTCCTTGTATCCCAGCTCCTATCCAGTCCTCGTATCCCTGCTCCTATCCCGTCCTCGTATCCCAGCTCGTATCCCAGCTCCTATCCTGTCCTCGTATCCCAGCTCCTATCCTGTCCTCGTATCCCAGCTCCTATCATGTCCTCGTATCCCAGCTCCTATCATGTCCTCGTATCCCAGCTCCTATCCTGTCCTCGTATCCCAGCTCCTATCATGGCCTCGTATCCCAGCTCCTATCCTGTCCTCGTATCCCAGCTCCTATCATGGCCTCGTATCCCAGCTCCTATCCTGTCCTCGTATCCCAGCTCCTATCATGTCCTCGTATCCCAGCTCCTATCCTGTCCTCGTATCCCATCCCCTGTCCTCTCCGTCCATGTACTATATACATACTGGGTTAGTGCTTCGACTCATTATATCCTTCCTTTCCCCTCGTCCAACCACTTGGGGTGGATGGTAGAGCGACGGTCTCGCTTCCTGCAGGTCGGCGTTCAATCCCCGACCGTCCAAGTGGTGGGGCACCATTCCTTTCCCACCGTCCCATCCCAAAATCCTTATCCTGACCCCTTCCCAGTGTTATATAGTCGTAATGGCTTGGCGCTTTCCTCCTGATTGTTTCCTTCCCTTTCTCTCTATTCATGTTTTGCCTGTTTGGTGTGGCTTACTCTGACATCACTGTGGCTTACTCTGACATCAGTGTGGCTTACTCTGACATCGCTGTGGCTTACTCTGACATCAGTGTGGCTTACTCTGACATCACTGTGGCTTACTCTGACATCACTGTGGCTTACATCAGTGTGGCTTACTCTGACATCACTGTGGGACATCACTGTGGCTCTTACATCACTGTGATCTGACATCACTGTGGCTTAATCTGACATCAGTGTGGCTTAATCTGATCATCATCTGACATCACTGTGGCTCTAATCACTGTGCTTAATCACTCAGTGTGGCTTAATCTGACATCACTGTGGCTTAATCTGACATCACTGTGGCTCAATCTGACATCAGTGTGGCTTCATTTGACATCACTGTGGTTTAATTTGATATCACTGTGGTTTAATTTGATATCACTGGGGCTTAATTTGATATCACTGGGGCTTCATTTGACATCACTGTGGTTTAATTTGATATCACTGGGGCTTAATTTGATATCACTGGGGCTTAATTTGATATCACTGGGGCTTAATTTGATATCACTGGGGCTTAATTTGATATCACTGGGGCTTAATTTGATATCACTGGGGCTTAATTTGATATCACTGGGGCTTAATCTGGCATCACTGTGGCTTACTCTGACATCACTCTGGTATTTATAAAAGTTATCAAGTACACATGTGCAGAAATTGCCACATATAACTAACTTCTTTAGTGAAGAATTGCGTTATTCCGGTCCAATGTCCAGAGTGAAGTTGTTGGGATTAAAGAGATTACAAAACTATACTATACAAGTGCCTGAATCATCTTAGTCATCATCAGACTCCAGCAAGTTGTATCTGTCATAGCTTTAGCCGTTTAACGTAGTTAAGTTAGACCTAATGACTTAATGATACACTGAACTACTTCAGTGTATCATTAAGTGTAACTTAATTTTACACTGAAGTACTTCATGAAAGCTGCATCAAAACACTTCCAATTGTGAGAAATTCTATCGAGGAAGCTCGCTCTGAAGGTAATGTGATCGAGGCATCAACCTCTCTCTCTCAGAGGTAGATATCTAGATATTTGTGATGGCCTGAAAGCATATTACAGTTCGAAAAATATTCCACTTGTGAAAAGGCGAGTGAACCTTTGTCCTAAACACAGAATATTTTCAAATTATTAAACTATATTATTATATATCCAGGGTTTAAATTATGAAAAGTCTATGGTAAGTCATTTTCTTTGATAAGCCCTAAAGTGTAGGTTTTCTTTAATGTTAAATTATAGTAGACACTAAAATAGTTTTTAATGACATATTTCACGTGTTTGAGAATAATACACTGCTTTAACAAAACCTAAAATAACCATGGATAAGGAGTAGATAATAGCACTAATTATGTAGTAGTTTTAAAGTGATTTCCATGAGGGAACATAAGCCCTGAGAACAGGCTGATCGAGGAGTGCTCTGAAGTGATACAGTATGGAGGATAAATTCTTATTCCGACAATGCTGAATACAGTAACAGTAACTTACCCGTGAGTGTGTAGGACAAGTGACCAGAGAACTTACCCGTGAGTGTGTAGGACAAGTGACCAGAGAACTCACCCGTGAGTGTGTAGGACAAGTGACCAGAGAAGCGTGGCGCAGCGCCCAGTGTGAGGGAAGTGAGGTAGGCGTCCAGGAAGTCGTGGATGAAGGGCAGGTCGAGCTCATCCCCAACGATGCTCCCGTCTAGTATGAGTCTGAGTGCTGAGTGCGCCGCGAGGAGCGTCAGGTTATGCCATTCTCCATCGTTCACAGACATATCTGATATGGTCATGTTGATGGGCTGGTTGGCGCCCAGTTTGGAAGTGTACTGCAGGAAGCCACTTCGGATTTCGACCAGCGTGTAGTCATTGTTGGTGGCAGAGTGTAGCAAGAGGCCATTCTCCATGCGGGTCCGGAAACTGAAAGAGAGACTCTTTGGTGGAGGTGGGGGAAGCTGTCTTGGGAGCCGAGCGCGGCCGTGGTAGATATTGGCCTCCCGCGACCACCTGGAATGTTGCTGATAGAGCCGTGGCAGCAGCTGGCGCCGCCGGTGCTGCTCCGTGATGAGGAACTCGACGTAGGAGCCGCGGGTGAATGATGCAGGGCGCAGAGAAGCCTCACAGTCTGGGGCCACCAGACCGTTGGCACAGCGGCACATGTGTGTGGACCAACGGTCGAGGCAGGTGGCGCCCTCCCCGCACGGGCTCCCCACACACACATCTGCCACGCGCTCACAAGTATCTGATATACCCCGGGCCTAAAACAAAAAATATATATTTAAGTATTTGCATATATGATATAAACTTGATATGAATTATATATATATATATATATATATATATATATATATATATATATATATATATATATATATATATATATATATATATATATATATTATTTATGTTTCTAAAAAAAAATCCATAAGAAAATTATTAATTTTGAGAATGCTGTTATGTTTAATTACATGTATATTAGAGAACACTTGCTCCCGAAACATAATAATGTATATAAGTATGTATACCATATGAGAGAATGTCTGGCTATCTCTGTCTCTTTGTCTGTCAGGCCAAAGTTGAAGGTTTGACCTCACCCAAATTAGCAGGTGATATGATCTCGGATACTGCGTGAACACCGGCTTGCCGAAGTAGGCTAAAGTTAAATGCTTTAATATAGATATGACAATATTCAACTGAAAACTCACACCCCAGAAGTGACTATATATATATATATATATATATATATATATATATATATATATATATATATATATATATATATATATATATATATATATTTATATATATTTTATATATATATATAATAAGGGACCAGGCGAGCCCGTCAAGCAAGAAGTGGAATGTATTAAGTTTTTAAAAACTAACATTCGTGTGCTTAGAGTTACTGCCACAGTCCCAGTTGGTTGGAAAGGCGTCTCCACAATTTGTGTGGTTACCTTAACCTCCTCACTAGCCACGAACGCTCCAGCTACACTCTGGAAACTAGACTTTACTAGACAGAAAAATCAAATTACAACTATCAATGCTCTCCAGAGAGGATTCCTACTTTGAATAATAAGTTAGCCTAAGTACAATAAACTTAGTTTATCATACGATTTACAAGAAGTATTGAGGAGAAAGTTATCCAGGGTTATTGAGACTGAACAGGCGGAAGAGCCCTGACCTGGATGGGACCAGAGAGGTTGAGCGGTCTGCCGTTGATGGAGACGGTCTGGATGCACCCGATGAAGTCGTCTGCCAGCACCTGGCCCGGTCGCTCCTGCAGGGGGTCCACTGTCATCACGCCTCCGAGGTACATCGGCTCGTTGTTAAAATTCAGCGTCCTGCTCACGCAACAAAAATATAATATATATATAAATATTTTTTATACTCGTAACTAAATAACAATATGATACAAACTCCATGATGAGTATATTATTGAAGAACAATCAATTTTTGTTTATAATTTACACAATTTTAGATTTGTTTGGTAAATAAAGAGCAAATGTGTCCTCACCCGGTGGGTCCGGTGTCGTCATTGTAACAGGAGGAGTCCCCAGGGTGACACTCTCCGCAGGTCTCGCCATTATGGGTGCACGTGGCCACGCTCAGGGAGATGACGCGACCATTTCGCGTTGCTGTCAGCTTATACCATTTCCCGTCGGCCACGTCATGTCCCACCTGAATCCTGGAGATGGCCGTCCGCGCACCACCGAAGCTAAAGCGTGGCTGCCCGCCTTTTAGTTCTATGGCTACGAAGTCTGAGCGACCACCTGTCTGCAAGCCGTAATTGTAAACGAGAAGTGCGTCTGGTTTGTTGGTGGAAAAGATGATGGAAATATCGTTAGTGGTGGAATCTAAGGTCGGGAAGGTCATGTACGAGAGCTCACTGAAACTAAATGTGGATTTCTCACAGTGAGTCCCATAGAAGTTGATCTTACATGAGCAACGATAGCCGGGTTTGAGGGAGACGCAGGTGCCACCATTGAGACAAGGATTAGGACGACAAGACTCGCTTGCCAGCTCACACTGGTTGCCACGGTAGCCAGGTCGACACAGACAGAAGAATCCTCCTTCAAGTGTAGTCTGACAGGACCCACCGTTGCGACACGGGTTGTCATCACACGCATTAGTTTTGTCGAATTCACATTGTGGCCCTTGTCGAGTGGGAGGGCAAGTGCACATAAAGTGGAATCCCTTCCTGGCACAGGTGCCACCAAACTGGCATGGGTTGGGTGAACAGGGGTCCTGACGCAGCTCACACTTTGGCCCCGTGAAGCCCTGGTGACATCTGCATGACACATCATGACGGATAAGAGGTGAGGTAAAAATGAAACTGGGAGAGTCAGTAATTTCAGTGTCGCCATATGCATGGATGCCGTGTGAGCATTCTCCACCATTCTTACATGGCATATCGCTGCAAGGATTGTAGTCTACAATGAGCTGCAGGCCCTGAAGAGATTGGGTAAGGCTTGGCTCCTCAGCTGCAAGCTTACGAGTTACCTCAGCTGGACGGAGGAAAGAATTTATACCTGATCCAGCTACTGTTAGAGTAAGATCAGTGTGAGAGTCTACGTCAAGCATGGAATATATGCGTACTTGGCCACCTGCAAAAATAGGTAACAAAGTATCTATAAAAGGCTTGTAATACAGGCGAAGAAACCTCTCTGCTGTGACGTTGAGCAGTCGCAGAGTAAGACTGTTGTCCAAGGTGGCATTATCAAAAGATTCAAACTCGAGGGTGACTTTTGAGGTAACGTCTGGGTGTTTGCCATCGTTTCCAGAGACGCTGAGAGTGTAGGTCCGGTCTCGAGGGACTCTAGCGGCGTGTAGATTGCACGCATTGGGGATGGAAAAGATGGCAGCATCTTGAGTGAGGATCTGGCATGAGTATTGACCAGCTGTATCTGCATCATTGGGGTGGACATCAGCCACCTTACCTCCTGGGAAGACTCCCTGGAATGTTTGCACCTTCACCGTCACTGTTCTAGGCGTTGAAGGAGAGTCGTTCTTATCCAAGACGATGATCGACACAGGGTATTCTGATTTCATCTTTGGCTTGCCGCTATCTTCTACCTCGATGCGGAAGGTCAACTCAGGAGTTGTCTCCCGATCAATACTGCGTGTGGTCTTGACCTCTCCTGTGGCCTGGTCGACCGTGAAGAACTCACGATGCTCGCCTCCAGCGATGTAGTAGATGAAAGGCTGTGTGTTGGGTGCCAGATCGGGGTCAGTGGCACTGAGGGTCATCACAGATGTCATTGCCGGCTCGTTTTCAGCCACATAACCAACTATATCCGGAGGGTCAAACTGTGGGCCATTGTCATTAACGTCATCCAGTATAACCCGGACGAGGGTGGTGCCAGTCTGAGGTGGAGTACCATTATCAATTGCACCGACTGTTAAGTTGTATACCTGAATTGTTTCACGGTCTAACTGAGCCGTGGTCTCTATGACACCACTCTGTGGGTCTACCTTGAACACCTGACCCAAGTTGCCTCCAATGATTGAGTACGTGAACTGATTGTTCTGAGGCTGAACATCAGAGTCCACGGCAGCCACTGTCAGGACTACGGTGCCCACAAGAGCACCTTCAGATAATCTCGTTTCATATAATGGTTGAGAGAACACCGGAGGATCGTTACCGTCTTGAATGGAGATGGTTATCTGTGCTTCATCTGTGTCGTTGCCACGGATGCTACCCACATTCTTAGCCATAACTGTTAATACGACTCTGTTCTGACTTTCCCGGTCAAGGCTTCGGGCCACAGTTATGACCCCAGTTGTGGGCTGGATCAAGAACCCTCGATCGTTGCTAGCACCAACAAGCAGGTAGTACACCATACCATCTTCTCCCTTGTCCTCATCTGTGGCTTGGATGGCACCCACAGAAGTGCCAATCTGTGCAGATTCTGACACAGTAAACTGAAAAACTGACTGGATGAAGCGAGGGAAGAACTCGTTGCGTCCTGTTACATGAACCACAACAGTTGTTGAGCCCCACTGTGAAGAGTCAGGGTTGTTGGCACCTCTAATGTTCAAAACATAGCGACTTTTCTCTTCATAATCAAACACTCTCTTAGAGGTCACCACACCTGTGTCTGGATCCACAGCGAAGAACTCCTTGCCATCACCCCCCACCAGACTGTACTGGATGACGGCATTACGCGCTGAATCTATATCCGTTGCATTTAATTTAAACACTGTCGTCCCAGCATTGGCATTTTCTGCAATGTAAGCATCATACTGCTGTTCACTGAATCTGGGTGGATTGTCATTGATGTCAATAAGGATGACGGTGAGGATTGCTGTGGATTGAAGGGGTATGAATGCCAAGTCATGGGCAGTGATGTTCAGCCTATACTCTTGAACAGCATCGTAATCTAGAGGATGCATGATGGTCACATCTCCAGTTCTCTCGTTAATGGCAAATTTACCAGCCTCATTACCACTCGTGATTGAATATCGAACAAATCCATTCGGTCCTTTGTCGCTATCCTTAGCAATGAGGGTTCCAATATCCGACCCCAAGGGCTCATTCTCAGGCACTATGACCTGGTAGCTGAGGGCTGTGAACTCAGGGGCATGTTTGTTCTCCCCAGTGACCACCAGGGTCACCAGCACTTCGTCCTGTAATGGAGGGACTCCGCGGTCCAGGGCCCGGACTAGCAATACAAACTGTGTATCAATTCGTCCCGTCAACTGTCGAGCTACTGTGATCCAGCCAGTCTTCTGCTCCAGTACAAAGTACTCTGTTCCATTCCCTCCCACCTTCTGATATTCAATTTCTGCATTAATGCCAAAGTCTCGATCATCAATGGCTTTTAATTGGATAATTGACTGGCCTATAGTAGAGCTCTCTGGGACTGGTGTGAAATAGCGGTCTTGTGAGAACCTGGGCGGGTTATTATTGGCGTCGACAACGTTGATCACCACTGAGCTCTCTGATGACATTGGAGGCTTGCCATTGTCCGTGGCTACCACTGCCAGGTTGTATGTGTTCTCAGGGGAAGGACCCTTCAGTGTGTGCTTGTACTGGAGCGCCTGCTTCGATAAGATTTCACCACTTGCTGGATCAACACTAAAGAAATCCGATGGAAATTTGAGTGAATATGTTATAACACTGTTGGGCCCCTGTTTGTCTCTGTCTGTGGCTGTTACCTGACCAACGAAGGCAACACTACGTTGTAGCTCTGGAAAATTAAAGACATAGTAACTCTGCTCGAACTCTGGGGCGTTGTCGTTTTCGTCCTGAACGGTGATTGTGAGCGGGGTCTCGGCTCGCCACGACCCATCAACAGCCGACACCTTCAGGAGGTATTCGTCGTTTAACTCACGATCGATGGCTCTTGCCACAGTCACATTCCCACTCACAGAATCAATATGGAATTTGCCGCCAGGATTTTCAGTGAAACTGTAGGTGGCATTAGCATTTTCCCCGATATCTCGATCGCTAGATGTTACTTGAATAACGAACGTCCCCACTTCAGCATTCTCTGTGACATTCACACTAAACAGTCTTGTGAAACGTGGTGGATTATCATTTTTGTCCTGAACTGTAACTACGACCATCGCTGTTCCAGTCTGCGCCGGTGTGCCCTTATCCACTGCTTCCACTGTTAGAGTGTACACCTCTACTTGCTCGCGGTCCAGCTGGATCTTGGTATAGATCTGCCCAGTTTCAGCATCCAGAGTGAAGGCTTCTGCAGCTGGCGAGTCTCGCCGGAGCTGATATATAACCTGTGCATTAGTTCCAGAGTCTCGGTCAGTGGCGCTGACGGTTGCCACTAACTGAGGTGGATACTGTGCCTCTAGTATGCTGGCGTTGTATATAGCCTGGGAGAATACGGGAGCATTATCGTTGAAATCCGTGACATTAACCACGAGTTGGATGACGGAGGTTAACGGAGGGTCGTCGGAGTCCTGCGCCGCGACCCACACCTCGTAGCGAGGTGCGGTCTCATAGTCCAGACCATACTGAGAGATCCGAAGTTCCCCGGTCTTTTCGTCCACTACAAAAGCCTGCCCCACGTTGCCACCTGCGATGCTAAAGCGTACATTTCCTGTGGGCCCGGCCTTGGGAGACGTGGCTGTGAGGCTAGTGACTAGGTCTCCCCTCGCAGCCTCGCTGAAGCTGAAGGTTTTCTCGAGAGGCTCAAAGACAGGGAAGAGGTTGTTAGGCCGGAGGTGGACTTGGAGCTTGGCGATGGTGGAGAGAGGAGTCTCTCCGGAGTCTGTGGCCAGGACCTCCAGCTGGTACTCCCCTTCCCCGGCGAGGGGCGTCGAAGCCTTGATGACTCCCGTTTCCTGGTTCATGTAGAACTTGTCAGCATCGTTGCCGGAGAGGTAGTAGGTGACCCGGCCGTTGACGCCTTCGTCAGGGTCGCGGGCTTCGCCCCCAAACACAAAATTCCCTGTAAAGTGGCATAAAATAATTTGCATTACTTAACGTTAAAAGCGTTGCTTTATAACATATACGTGAGCAAGTGTTCAACGCACAGCAGAGCCTGCTGAGCACCGTTGTATTTCATGATGTTTTCATTACTGTGGATTTATGACAGATAACCAGCAACAGTAAGGCTTATTGCCAGTAAAGTAATGGGGAAAATATTACACCTAATTTGTATTGTTAAACTAAAGCTAAAATTCGAGTAAAGAGAGAGTGGCTAGTGTGTGAGAGGCTAGTGTGTGAGAGAGGCTAGTGTGTGTGAGTTGCTAGCGTGTGAGAGAGGCTAGTGTGTGTGAGTTGCTAGCGTGTGAGAGAGGCTAGTGTGTGTGAGTTGCTAGCGTGTGAGAGAGGCTAGTGTGTGTGAGAGGCTAGTGTGTGTGAGAGAGGCTAGTGTGTGAGAGAGGCTAGTGTGTGTGAGAGGCTAGTGTGTGAGAGAGGCTAGTGTGTGAGAGAGGCTAGTGTGTGTGAGAGGCTAGTGTGTGAGAGAGGCTAGTGTGCGTGAGAGGCTAGTGTGTGAGAGAGGCTAGTGTGTGAAAGAGGCTAGTGTGTGAGAGAGGCTAGTGTGTGAGAGGCTAGTGTGTGAGAGAGGCTAGAGTGTGAGAGGCTAGTGTGTGAGAGAGGCTAGTGTGTGAGAGAGGCTAATGTGTGAGAGAGGCTAGTGTGTGAGAGAGGCTAGTGTGCTAGTGTGTGAGAGAGGCTAGTGTGCTAGTGTGTGAGAGAGGCTAGTGTGCTAGTGTGTGAGAGAGGCTAGTGTGCTAGTGTGTGAGAGAGGCTAGTGTGTGAGAGAGGCTAGTGTGTGAGAGGCTAGTGTGTGTGAGAGGCTAGTGTGTGTGGGAGGCTAGTGTGAGAGAGGCTAGTGTGAGAGAGGCTAGTGTGTGAGAGGCTAGTGTGAGAGAGGCTAGTGTGTGAGAGAGGCTAGTGTGTGAGAGGCTAGTGTGTGGGAGGCTAGTGTGAGAGAGGCTAGTGTGAGAGAGGCTAGTGTGTGAGAAAGGCTAGTGTGAGAGAGGCTAGTGTGTGGAAGGCTAGTGTGAGAGAGGCTAGTGTGAAAGAGGCTAGTGTGTGAGAGAGGCTAGTGTGTGAGAGGCTAGTGTGTGAGAGAGGCTAGTGTGTGAGAGGCTAGTGTGTGAGAGGCAAGTGTGTGAGAGAGGCTAGTGTGTGAGAGGCTAGTGTGTGAGAGAGGCTAGTGTGTGAGAGGCTAGTGTGTGAGAGAGGCTAGTGTGTGAGAGTGACTAGTGTGTGAGAGAGGCTAGTGTGAGAGAGGCTAGTGTGTGAGAGGCTAGTGTGTGAGAGAGGCTAGTGTGTGAGAAGCTAGTGTGTGAGAGAGGCTAGTGTGTGAGAGAGGCTAGTGTGTGAGAGGCTAGTGTGTGAGAGGCTAGTGTGTGAGAGAGGCTAGTGTGTGAGAGGCTAGTGTGTGAGAGAGGCTAGAGTGTGAGAGGCTAGTGTGTGAGAAGCTAGTGTGTGAGAGAGGCTAGTGTGTGAGAGAGGCTAGTGTGTGAGAGAGGCTAGTGTGCGTGAGAGGCTAGTGTGTGAGAGTGGCTAGTGTGTGAGAGAGGCTAGTGTGCGAGAGAGGCTAGTGTGTGAGAGGCTAGTGTGTGAGAGAGGGCCAGGAGTGAGAGAGGGCCAGGAGTGAGAGAGAGCCAGGAGTGAGATAGTGCCAGGAGTGAGAGAGGGCCAGGAGTTAGAGAGTGCCAGGAGTGAGAGAGGGCCAGGAGTGAGAGAGGGCCAGGAGTGAGAGAGTGCAAGGAGTGAGCGAGGGCTAGGAGTGAGAGAGGGCCAGGAGTGAGAGAGGGCCAGGAGAGAGGGCCAGGAGTGAGAGAGGGCCAGGAGTGAGAGAGGGCCAGGGGTGAGAGAGGGCCAGGAGTGAGAGAGGGCCAGGAGTGAGAAAGGGCCAGGAGTGAGAGAGGGCCAGGAGTGAGAGAGGGCCAGGAGTGAGAGAGGGCCAGGAATGAGAGAGGGCCAGGAGTGAGAGTGTGCCAAGAGTGAGAGAGGGCCAGGAGTGAGAGAGGGCCAGGAGTGAGAGAGGGCCAGGAGGGAGAGAGGGCCAGGAGTGAGAGAGGGCCAGGAATGAGAGAGTGCCAAGAGTGAGAGAGGGCCAGGAGTGAGAGAGGGCCAGGAATGAGAGAGTGCCAAGAGTAAGAGAGTGCCAGGAGTGAGAGAGGGCCAGGAGTGAGAGAGGGCCAGGAGTGAGAGAGGGCCAGGAATGAGAGAGTGCCAAGAGTAAGAGAGTGCCAGGAGTGAGAGAGGGCCAGGAGTGAGAGAGGGCCAGGAGTGAGAGAGGGTCAGGAGGGAGAGAGGGCCAGGAGAGAGAGAGGGCCAGGAGTGAGAGAGGGCCAGGAGTGAGAGAGGGCCAGGAGGGAGAGAGGGCCAGGAGTGAGAGAGGGCCAGGAGGGAGAGAGGGTCAGGAGTGAGAGAGTGCCAGGAGTGAGAGAGTGCCAAGAGTGAGAGAGGGCCAGGAATGAGAGTGCCAGGAGTGAGAGAGTGCCAGGAGAGAGAGAGGGCCAGGAGGGAGAGAGGGCCAGGGCCAGGAGAGAGAGAGGGCCAGGAGAGAGAGAGGGCCAGGAGAGAGAGAGGGCCAGGAGAGAGAGAGGGCCCAGAGAGAGGGCCAGAGAGAGAGAGTGCCAGGAGTGAGAGAGTGCCAGGAGTGAGAGAGGGCCAGGAGAGAGAGAGGGCCAGGAGAGAGAGAGGGCCAGGAGAGAGAGAGGGCCAGGAGTTAAAGAGTGCCAGGAGAGAGAGAGAGGGCCAGGAGAGAGTGCCAGGAGTGAAAGAGTGCCAGGAGTGAGAGAGTGCCAGGAGTGAGAGAGTGCCAGGAGAGAGAGAGGGCCAGGAGGGAGAGAGGGCCAGGAGTGAGAGAGGGCCAGGAGAGAGAGAGTGCCAGGAGTGAGAGAGTGCCAGGAGTGAGAGAGTGCCAGGAGAGAGAGAGTGCCAGGAGTGAGAGAGTGCCAGGAGTGAGAGAGTGCCAGGAGTGAGAGAGTGCCAGGAGAGAGAGAGGGCCAGGAGGGAGAGAGGGCCAGGAGAGAGAGAGGGCCAGGAGTGAGAGAGGGCCAGAGAGAGAGAGAGAGGGCCAGGAGAGAGAGAAGGCCAGGAGTGAGAGAGGGCCAGGAGAGAGAGAGGGCCAGGAGTGAGAGAGGGCCAGGAGTGAGAGAGTGCCAGGAGTGAGAGAGGGCCAGGAGGGAGAGAGGGCCAGGAGGGAGAGAGTGCCAGGAGTGAGAGAGGGCCAGGAGGGAGAGAGTGCCAGGAGTGAGAGAGGGCCAGGAGTGAGAGAGTGCCAGGAGTGAGAGAGTGCCAGGAGTTAAAGAGTGCCAGGAGTGAGAGAGTGCCAGGAGTGAGAGAGTGCCAGGAGAGAGAGAGGGCCAGGAGTTAAAGAGTGCCAGGAGTGAGAGAGTGCCAGGAGTGAGAGAGGGCCAGGAGAGAGAGAGGGCCAGGAGGGAGAGAGGGCCAGGAGGGAGAGAGTGCCAGGAGTGAGAGAGGGCCAGGAGGGAGAGAGTGCCAGGAGTGAGAGAGGGCCAGGAGTGAGAGAGTGCCAGGAGTGAGAGAGTGCCAGGAGTTAAAGAGTGCCAGGAGTGAGAGAGTGCCAGGAGTGAGAGAGTGCCAGGAGAGAGAGAGAGGGCCAGGAGTTAAAGAGTGCCAGGAGTGAGAGAGGGCCAGGAGAGAGAGAGTGCCAGGAGGGAGAGAGGGCCAGGAGAGAGAGAGGGCCAGGAGTGAGAGAGTGCCAGGAGTGAGAGAGTGCCAGGAGTTAAAGAGTGCCAGGAGAGAGAGAGAGTGCCAGGAGTGAGAGAGTGCCAGGAGAGAGAGAGGGCCAGGAGTTAAAGAGTGCCAGGAGTGAGAGAGTGCCAGGAGTGAGAGAGGGCCAGGAGAGAGAGAGGGCCAGGGGGGAGAGAGGGCCAGGAGGGAGAGAGTGCCAGGAGTGAGAGAGGGCCAGGAGGGAGAGAGTGCCAGGAGTGAGAGAGGGCCAGGAGTGAGAGAGTGCCAGGAGTGAGAGAGTGCCAGGAGTTAAAGAGTGCCAGGAGAGAGAGAGAGTGCCAGGAGTGAGAGAGTGCCAGGAGAGAGAGAGGGCCAGGAGTTAAAGAGTGCCAGGAGTGAGAGAGGGCCAGGAGTGAGAGAGGGCCAGGAGTGAGAGAGGGCCAGGAGAGAGAGAGTGCCAGGAGTGAGAGAGTGCCAGGAGTGAGAGAGGGCCAGGAGTGAGAGAGGGCCAGGAGTGAGAGAGTGCCAGGAGTGAGAGAGGGCCCCACCTGGCACCACGGGGTCCGGCACGTGGATGACGTAGAGGCTCTGGGAGAAGGTGGGAGCGTTGTCGTTCTCGTCCCTGACCGTCACCGTCACCTGCAAATAATCATAGATACAATACCCATAACACAGCATATATACACACACGACTAAATCAACTGAACCTAAGACCGTTAGTGAAAATTAAGGAGCGGGGAGATATGATTGCGGCATACAAAATACTTAGGGAGATTGCCGGAGTGGACAAAGACGAAATGTTAACACTGAATAATAACACAAAGAGACGTTGGTGGAAGCTGGAAACTCAGATGAGTCACAGAGATGTTAGGAAGTTTTCTTTTAGCGTGAGAGTAGTGGGAAAATGGAATGAACTTAAGGAACAGGTTGTGGAAGCAAACATTATTCATAGCTTTAAAACTAGGCATGATAGAGAAGGATAGGGGTCATTGCTTTAAACAACCGGCGGCTAGAAAGGCGGGATCCAACCTGGGGCATACCTGCGACGGTTTCGGAAGTTCTTCTACTCCCCGAGCCCGGCCCGAGGCCAGGCTTGACTTGTGAGAGTTTGGTCCACCAGGCTGTTGCTTGGAGCGGCCCGCAGGCCCACACACCCACCACAGCCCGGTTGGTCCGGCACGCTTTTTAGAAATCAGTCTAGATTTCTTTTGGAGATGTCCACGGTTGTTCCGGCAATATTTCTTATACTCGCTGGGAGGACGTTGAACAACCGCGGACCTCTGATGTTTATACAGTGTTCTCTGATTGTGCCTATGGCACCTCTGCTCTTCACTGGTTCTATTCTGCATTTTCTTCCATATCGTTCACTCCAGTACGTTGTTATTTTACTGTGTAGATTTGGTACCTGGCCCTCCAGTATTTTCCAAGTGTATATTATTTGGTATCTCTCTCGTCTCCTTTCTAGTGAGTACATTTGGAGAGCTTTGAGACGATCCCAATAATTTAGGTGCTTTATCTCGTCTATGCGTGCCGTATATATTCTCTGTATTCCCTCTATTTCAGCAATCTCTCCTGCTCTGAAGGGGTAAGTAAGTACTGAGCAGTACTCAAGACGGGACAACACAAGTGACTTGAAGAGTACAAGCATTGTGATGGGATCCCTAGATTTGAAAGTTCTGGTAATCCATCCTATCATTTTTCTGGCTGACGCAATATTTGCTTGGTTATGCTCCCTAAACGTTAGGTCGTCGGACATCATTATTCCCAAATCCTTTACATGCTGCTTTCCTACTATGGGTACATTTGATTGCGTTTTTTACCCTGTATTATGTTTAAGGTCCTCATTTTTACCGTACCTGAGTACCTGGAATTTCTCGCTGTTAAACATTATGTAATTTTCTGCTGCCCAATCGGAAACACTGTTGATATCTGCTTGTAGTTTTTCAATGTCTTCCGCAGAGGTAATTTTCATGCTGATTTTCGTGTCATCTGCAAAGGATGACACGAAGCAATGACGTGTATTTTTGTCTATATCTGATATGAGAATAAGGAAAAGCAGTGGTGCAAGGACTGTACCTTGAGGAACAGAGCTTTTAACTGCTCTTGGGCACGATTTTATTTGACTGTTACTCTTCATGTTCTGTTCGACAGGAAGTTAAGTATCCAGTGTCCTACTTTACCAGTTATTCCCATTAACCTCATTTTGTGAGCTATCACTCCATGATCACCTTTGTCGTATGCCTTTGCAAAGTCTGTGTATACAACATCTGCATTTTGCTGTTATTCTAGAGCTTCTGTGATTTTGTCATAGTGGTTGAGTAACTGTGACAGACAGGATCTTCCCGCTCTAAATCCATGTTGTCCTGGGTTGTGTAGTTCACTATTTTCCAGAAAACTAGTAAGTTGATTCTTAATCACTCTTTTAAAATTTTTGTTACGTGTGATGTTAGTACAACTGGTCTATAATTTTTTGCCAAGGCTTTACTCCCCCCCCCCCTTGTGCGACGGAGCTATATCTGCAGATTTAAGTGCTGCTGGTATCTCCCCTGTATCCAGGCTCTTTCTCCATATTACGCTGAGTGCTCTCGCTACTGGTACTTTACATTTCTTAATGAATATTGAATTCCACGAGTCCGGCCCAGGAGCTGAGTGCATGGACATATTGTCAATTTCTCTTTCAAAGTCATCCGAGTTCGTGTTAATATCCGTTATATTATCTGCAGCTTGAATGTCATTCATAAAGAAGCTGTCTGGGTCATCAACTTTCATGTTGTTTATTGGTGTGCTAAACATAGCCTCATACTGGCTTCTTAAAATTTCACTAATTTCTTTGTTGTCCTCTGTGTACGTACCTTCAGTTGAAATTAAAAGTACAATACTGGTCGAGGTTTTGGATTTTGATTTTGCGTATGTGAAAAAATATTTCGGATTTTTCTTTATCTCTTGTATAGCTTTCTGGTCCAATTCCATTTCCTCAGACTCATATGATCGCTTCAACGTTTGTTCTATTTCTTCGATCTCTCTGCTTAGGTTTATTTTCCTTTCTTGAGATAGTTGTGTCTGCTAAAGCATTTCCGTTATTTTTTCCTTCTCTGTACAGTCGTCTGCGTTCTCTTTCTAGAGTGGTCCTCTTTCTGCCCCTCCTCACAGGTACGTGCTTCAAGCAGACCTTGTAAGCTTCAGCTGTCAGTTGAGCTATTCCCTGTGTGGGAGTTTTGTCGCTTAAGACCGTCTCCCATTGAATGGTTGCAAGGTCAACATTTATTTTTTTCCCAGTCAATCCTCTTATTGTTGAAATTGAATTGATTGAATATTCCTTCTCGCTTGTTGGGTCTCTTAGACCTACTGCCGTTATTTATGCTAGTTCGCACTTCAATGAGCTTATGGTCTGAGTATGAAGTATCTGAGATTGTGATATCTCTGATTAGTTCATCATTGTTTGTGAATAACAAGTCTAGTGTGTTTTCGTTCCTAGTTGGTTCTGTAATCTGTTGATTGAACGAGAATTTGTCACAGAAGCTCAAAAGTTCTCTAAACTGCGATTGATTATTTCCAGCTTGGTTCCCGGCAATGATATTTTTGATTGCCATTCTCCATCTTAAACTGGGTAGATTGAAGTCTCCAAGGAAGATAATATCTGGAACTGGGTTTGCTAGGTTATCAAGGCTGTTCTCTATTTTGTGCATCTGCTCTGTTAATTCCTCTGAGAATTTTGTAGGTAGTGATCATGTCTCCCCTTGCTCTTCTGTCTTCCAGTGTCGTGAGGTACATTTCACGCAGCCTTTTTTCGTAATTCATGCCTCTTAGTTCTGGGACTAGTCTAGTGGCATATCTCTGAACTTTTTCAAGCTTCGCCTTGTGCTTGACAAGGTACGGGCTCCATGCTGGGGCCGGATACTCCAGGATTGGTCTTACATATGTGGTGTACAAGATTCTGAATGATTCATTACACAGGTTCCTGAAGGCTGTTCTGATGTTGGCCAGCCTCGCATATGCCGCAGACGTTATTCTTTTTATGTGGGCTTCAGGAGACAGGTTTGGTGTGATATCAACTCCTAGATCTTTCTCTCTGTCCGTTTAATGAAGTACTTCATCTCCTATTCTGTATCCTGTGTCTGGCCTCCTGCTACCACCGCCTAGTTGCATTACCTTGCATTTACTCGGGTTGAACTTTAGTAGCCATTTGTGGGACCATTCATTCAGTCTGCCTAGGTCATCTTGTAGCCTCCTACTATCATCCTCTGTTTCAATCCTCCTCATAATATTTGCATCATCAGCAAACAATGAGAGGAACGATTCTATACCCTCTGGGAGATCATTTACATATATCAGAAACAGTATAAGTCCAAGGACTGACCCCTGCGGGACCCCACTTGTAACGTCTCGCCAATCTGAGACCTCACCCCTCACAGTGACCCGCTGTCTTATGTTGCTTAGGTACTCCTTTATCCATTGGAGTACCTTCCCTTTCACTCCTGCCTGCATCTCCAGCTTTTTCACTAGCCTCTTGTGTGGTACTGTATCAAAGGCTTTCTGGCAATCCAAAAATATGCAGTCTGCCCATCCCTCTGTTTCTTGCCTGATTTTTGTTGCCTGGTCGTAGAATTCAATTAATCCTGTGAGGCAGGACTTGCCATACCTGAACCCATGTTACCTAGTTGTGCTTGCGGAGGTTGAGCTCTGACTCTTTGGTCCCGCCTCTCAACTGTCAATGTGTGTGTGTGTGTGTGTGTGTGTGTGTGTGTGTGTGTGTGTGTGTGTGTGTGTGTGTGTGTGTGTGTGTGTGTGTGTGTGTGTGTGTGGGTGAGTGTAAGTGTGTGTGTGTGTGTGTGTGTGTGTGTGTGTGTGTGTGTGTGTGTGTGTGTGTGTGTGTGTGTGTGTGTGTGTGTGTGTGTGTGTGTGTGTGTGAACACAGTCCGTCACGAGTAACCACATGTAAAGATAAGCTATTATCTGAGAGCTTTCATGTATTCGATACATTATCAAGAAATACACCGTAGCCAGACTGGACAACGGTGTATATATATACACACACTAGATCTGACCAATTAAGCATCATTAACCCCAACAACATCTTCTTCCAATTATCAAGTTTAATATATATAATCCTGAACTTTATTTAAATGATATTACTCACTACTCCTAATAAAATAATTATGAGTTATGTTTTAATAACTGATTACACTAATTCTAGGAGAATTAACTCACTCAGATGATGTAAATCTCTTGTTGACCAGACCACACACTAGAAATTGAAGGGACGACGACGTTTCGACTTGAGAATCGACTTGAGAGTGGTCCAGGACGGACCGAAACGTCGTCGTCCCTTCAATTTCTAGTGTGGTCTGGTCAACATACTTCAGCCACGTTATTGTGACTCATCGCCTGCATGTAAATCTCTTGATTAAACATGAGAATGCTAATGTTTAATCCTAATTTCTTGATAGACAATAGAATCCTAACCTTATGGTCTATTTACGTCGCATTGTTATGGGTGAATATCATTTTATCCTGCAGGGTATATATTGCTAACTTTATATAATATTTAATACACAAACGCATTACAACTACTGATATCGGGTGGAAGCCGACCGACCTGCAACTCTACTGAACTGACTAGGATTTCCTGGAGGCCCGGA